GACTACGACTACGACTACGACCACCACCACCAACATCAGCCACGACGACGACGACTATTACGAACTACCACGACTACTACTACATACTCGTCTTGCCATTAAGTACTGCTATCTGTTTGTCAAAAGAGACTTGCAAAAACTCTGCTGCCCCAGGCGCCGAAGCCGAAGGTGCTGACAGTTCCTGGGATCTCCCCGCCATAGCCAACCTTGGCGTCCTGCGCCAAGGGTTTAGGGTTTAGGGTTTAGGGCTTAGGGGAAGCATTGAAAATAGCTAGTAGTGCGGGCAACAAACTGGAGAAATCAATACAGTGCGAGTGACGAGAAACGAACAAATAAAGAAATAAACAAGGCCACGGAACCCTAAACCCTAAACCCTAAAGCCTAAAGCCTAAACCCTAAAGCCTAAAGCCTAAACCCTAAAGTCTAAACCCTAAACCCTAACCTTAAGGTTCGCGGAAAGCCCGCTTCGGTTTCAAGGCTTCGGACTTCGGGTTTAAGGCTACAGGGACCCGGAATGGTGAACTCGAAACCTTGAGGATTTGTGGTTTAGGGTTTAGGGTTTAGGGTTTAGGATTTAGGGTTTAGGGTTTAGGGCTGATGGACCCCGAACCGTATGGTTTAGGGTTTAGGGTTGAGGAGGTTTAGGGTGGTTCCCAAGCGGGCCCCAACAACAATGACTTTTCTGTGCACTGCCCAGTTTTAAGAGGGAACCCCCACACACACACACACACACACACGCAAAAAAAAAAAGAAAAACAAGACAAGAGGGTCCTACCTGGAACCTCAGTCAACCCTACAGCAACCATATGCAACCCCGTCAAGGCCTTATAAAACCCTTACTTAAAAACCCTGAACCCTAACCCTAAACCTTACTTTAACAAGTGAAGGACCCAAAAACCTCAGCTCGAAATCAGCCCTAAACCTTTGCTCCCTGGAGCGGAGCGGAAGATATTGGGAAGGTTTAGGGTTTAGGGCTCAGGGGCTCAACTGTCTTAGGCCTGAATAATGATTTTTGTAGCGGTTTGAATGACTAGAAATCCTTGTTTGATCTTTTTTTGCGAACCGGGCTGTGACCTTGCCGGGCAGCTGCACTTGCAACGCGCGGATGACGTGGCCAGCAGGAGACGAGCAACGGAAACATCTTGGAAAGCCCTCACAAGCCCTGTCGGCGATGGCAGATGTCTCAGCGTCCCTCCTGCCTATCTCAAGACCTAGCCTTGGGAAAGACGGCTTCAACTGCAGCATCCAGTCGGCGTGTGTGAAATTGCTACTTCTGTTGGCACCGGCCACGAACGAGCGTTCGACCCATCCCAATACAGCCCGAACGGCTGGAAGGCGACCGCGTCTCAGCACCTCCACGAAGATCAAGTCGAGACGCCCCCCCACCAAGCGACACCAACCAACACCGCGACTACTACCACCTGTGCCACTCTACTTCTGCTACTACGCCTACAACTGCTGCTACTACTACCACCACCACCACTACCACTACTGCTGCTGCTACTATGAATTCTACTTCGACATTCATCCGATATTCTCTTGATCCTCTAAGCAAAAACAATAATGGACCTGAAAACCGGGGACAGGGAAGCTCACAAGCTGTGCGTGAGTGTTCGTATAAGGAATCCATAAACGGCATTTTTGAGCTATAAGGATTTAGGATTTAGCGCGTCGAGGCTTAGGATTTAGGGTGTAGGGGTTTAGGGTTTAGAGTGCCCATATGATTGAAGGAATCTTAACCCTAAGCCCTAAATCCTAAGCCCTCAACCCTAAACCCGAAATTGCAGAGGACAGATTAGGAACTGGGGTTAGGGCTGAACTTAACCGCTAAACTCCCCGGCTGATGGTTTAGGGTTTGGGGCTTAGGGTCTAAGCTTTGGGGTTTAGGGTTTAGGGCTGACCTGTAACTCTCTTCACCTACAGTTTAGCAGCCATTACCCCTGAAATAGTAGGTAGAACCCATCAAACTGCAGGTGATGAGAGTCCCGGTAGGGTTTAGGGACACAACCCCGCACCCAAAACTTATAGTAACTCTTTTTTGGTACGGTGGTCACCCTACGCCATAAGCCCCGAACCTGCAACCCAAGAGCCTTTTGCAGCAATCCCAAGAAGGAACCCAGCACCAAAAGCAGGGAATGACCTGCAGAAGCTGCATGATCTGAGCCTGGGGCAAGGCCGGTAGCAGGGTAAATTATGGGGGGGCCTACTATTCAAAGCAAGGCTCCTTAAAGGGCTTCTTCACAGGGTTCTTTTGAGGGTTCAATTCAAGATATAGGGGCCTTAACCCCTGAACTCTAAACCCTATTCAAGATATTGGGCCCTACAATTTAGAATAAGGCTCGTTAAAGGCCGATATCGGGGCCTGAATAAGCTCCACACAGGCTTGCTTAGACTAGGGTTGGGGTTTAGGGGTTTAGGGGTTTAGGGTTTAGGGTTTTGGGTAGAGTAGGGTTTGGGTGAGACTATACAGGAAACAGAGTAAGGAATCCCAAAGAATAGTATTAGTAAGACCGCGGCTTCGATGTTAGACACAGAGGCCTTCAGCGTGCTAGTTGAGAAGTTGGAAAGGTTGATGATATAAATCCTGCATTACCCAGAATAAGGAATATACCATAATTCCCATAGTTTAGGGTCCTTAAGGTAATGCAGGATTTATACCGTCAACAGTAGGATTTAGGGTGCGGGGCTTCTGAACCATGAGCCCGCGTAGATGCAAGCAGTAGGATCCAAGCCAGACGCTTGGAATTTGGTATCCTCATGCCCTTGAGGTGATGTAGAGTCCGAAATAATTACCAATACTATTTTGTTTTTTTTTTNNTGGGCCCCAAACCCTGTTCTAATTAAGGCCCCTATATTATACGGTATCCCGAACTCCTAAACCCTAAACCTACAGTATACGGAATCCCAGCACTCTTTCATCCTTAAACCTCCCGGGCTTCAATGGAAAGTAGAGGCTGCTTGGCGCTCGAAAATTGGTCTATAAAACCTTGCCCGGTTTAGTGTTTAGGGTTTAGGGGCAGCTTGTGGTATTTCTAGGTGTATTCTACCCAGGTTTACAGTCTGAGGTTCAGTGCTGAGGCAGAGAGCTCATGCTTGGAAAATCATGGGACTTAGTCACTAGGGTTCAATAGAGTAACTATATTTCTCATTACTTATAATTCCAACTAGGGTACTTAATCTGAATAAGTGGAACACATTTTGGGGTATCTTATGATGCTACAGGTTTGGTGATACCTAAGAAATGCCAGTATACATTAACTACTCATTGCCCCGACCCTAAACCCTGAAGCCTAAACTAAACCCAACTCATACACCGACAGCACCAGTGAGGCCCGCACACTATCTTCCGTCTCGCCGTCTGTCAGAAGCATGGTGTGGCAGAAGCTACCCTGGCAAAAAGGCAGGGTTCAGGGTTTAGGGCCTAGGGTTTACGGTCTAGTTGCCGGGATCCCCGACCCCACAACCCAAATCCCAAATCCTAGGTCCCTAAAGCTAAACGTCAAGTCTCAAGCAGTATAGCCTAAATCGTCACTCTTCCATACTATTTCTCCAGTCGAAATAATTAAACAAGAAGACTATAAGAACACCCGACGCAGATCCTACAGGATGCAGTAACAAACGACAAACAGCCAATGAAGTGGCGGAGGCGGAGTGTTTTTGTCGCTCCGTTTGCTCCCTGATTTTGGTTGGTGGGGGGGTTCTCTGTATTTCCACAGGCAAACCTCTATTGTCGCTATATTTTTTCTAGGAAAACTTCTATTTCCTCTATCTCTTCATCGCAAAAGCCTTTATTTTCTATATACTGTATTAGGAAAACATCAATCTCTCGAGATTTCATGACCCAAACAAACTTTCTCAATGCTTTTCACAGAAGTTGGATAACCTCTAACTTTCAAAAACCCTGAACCCTAAACCCTAAACCCTAAACCCTAAACCCTAAACCCTAAACCATATACTTTGAAGCAAGCTTGCACGGCTTAAAACAGCGGGGGGTTGGTGGTGGCCCAGCCCCCCCCCCCCCCTCCATTTGCAAACAGGATGCTTTAGGGTTTAGGGATTAGGGTTTAGGGTTTAGGGTTTAGGGACACTGACATGTTTTAAAACAAGCTTGCACGGATTCAAAAAACATGCGGGTTGGGGGGGCAGCACATGCCATTTACAAACAGAATGCACGCACTATGGGCTTCGAAAAACTCACATGCTTTGAGGGGGGATTGCTGCGGGCGCAGCCTCCCCCATGTGCAAAACAATGCAAAGGCTTTGCAGGCCCCCGATTTGCACGCAGAATACTCGCATGATGGCTTTCAAAAGGGTACACATGCTTTGAGACAAGCTTGCACGGCTTAAAACGCAGGGGGAATGGGGGTGGGGCCCCGGGTGGAGAATTGTTTTTGTTGTTTGCATTTTATTTTTTTGTGTTGCCATTGTTCTGGCTTTAGGCTTTTGGCGATTCCGGTTCATCAGAGATCTTAAACACGCCCCATCATTTGGCGATTCCGGCTCATAATGTATCTTTAACACGCTCCCTCATTTGGCGGTTCGGAGGCATCATATATTATGTCAAACACGCACCCGCATTTGGCGACTTCGGTTGATCATGTATCTTTAGCACACCCCCTCATTTGGGCAAAGACGCCCGCTTAATGGGCGATTCCGGATCATCATATATCTTGAAGACCTCCCACATTTTGCGGCTCGGATACATCATATATTATGTTAAACACGCCCCCTCGTTTGGCGATTCCGGTTTCATCATACATGTTAAACCGGCAGGAAGAACTGAGCGGACCAGAGGGACCAGCAGACCAGGGAACCAAAAGACAAGAGGGGGGGGGGGGGCAGGAGACTAGAAGACCACGGGACCAAGAAGATCACGGGACCAGGAAACCGGAAGACCAGCAGACCAGAGGACCACTGGACCAGAGGACCGCGGGACCAGGGGAACAAGGGGACAGGTGAAAACAACAAAACGAAAGAAAGTGAGTGAAAAGATACGCCCTCCCCAACAAAGCCGACCTCCCGCCGCTTGCTGTGGAGCTCGCGGAAACCTCCGCGAAAGTTTAGAGATTGGGGTTTCGGGTTTAAGGTTTAGGGCTCCTGGCGTTCAATAGGGCTTCTATCACGGCTCTTGGGTCTACTCAAGGTCCTGTGAGGGTTGGTGTCGCCTTTTTTCCAGCGTTGTAGCGTTGTTAGATGGATCTATACAAATTTTGTGTCGGGTTCTTAACCCTCAACCCTAAACCCTAAGCCCTAAACCCTAAACCCTAAGCCCAAAACCCTAAACCCTGTAAACAAAAACAAATGAATGCTATTGGCCTCTTGGTGTCGTAGGGTTCTGGAGTCTCTTGGGACTTGCGGGGTTGCAGAGTAAAGGGCTTAATTTAAAACCGGTTTAGGGTTCAGGGTTTAGGTCTTTAGGGTTTAGGGCTATAGGGCTTTGGGGTGTAGGGTTTAGGGTTTAAGTATTTACCCACATTATTCCTCAGGGTTCCTTACTATAATTATACGACAAGGTACCCCCAAAACCCCCTCCTGATTATTCGGGCCCCTATACCATAGAGTGCGATTATATTTCCCTTGTAGAAATCTTGAGGGAGCCCTTGAAAGGAATCCTATTCAAATCATTAAGGCCCTATTTTGCCCTAAACCCGAAACCCTAAAACCTATAGACCCTAAACCCTAAACCCTATATTATTAAGGCCCTATATTACCCTAAACCCTAAACCCAAAACCCTATTCTAGTTACTATAGAACCTTATATTAAAACCAACAAGGTCTAAGGTTGAGGGTTTAGGGTCGGACGTTTCGGAGTTCGCGCCGAAGGTTTATTTAGGGGTTTAGGGGTTTAGGCTTTAGGGTTTAGGTGTTCAGGCTTTAG